AAACATGAGTCATGTCACTTTTGATATATTGTACTTGGAGATTTTTCTATCTTAGGCCAGTATTCATAATTAGATCTTATATTTAAGATCATCTTAAGTACTGTCTTAAGATGTTATGAACCAATCACAGAGCCATATTCGCATCTTAAGACATTACTTAAGACGGTCTTGAAATAAGATTCGATTATGAATACCGATCTTAGAGTCTTTTTATTACATGACACTAATTATTTCTTTGTTTTTAACAGATTTTATTGTAACGACACAGATTTCCATATTGTTGGTAATTCTGAAATATGTATGATAAAAAAGTTCTTATTATCTTCGGTGTAGTTAAGAAGGTCGGTATTGTCATTACTCTTGAATTATCTTTGGATATCTCGTCAGTCTTTGACTAGAACGACGATAACGAAGATAATGACCCGTATTCTGAGTTCTCTTTTAACGATAAATGAGTCTTTAAAAGTGGCTTTCTGATTGGATATGAGTCACTTTTAGAGAATTTAGAATACGGACCAATGTTTTTGAGAACTTGGCTTGTTTCAGGCTTTGTGCTAGAATATCTTCGCTTATAAATCATGTAAGTAAAATAGAAAGATAGTTTTATACAATTGAACGCCGAAGAATCGATTAAGTTTAGTTACAATTCAATCAGATCAATTATTATAGCGGCACGATAATAAAGTTTTTTAAACATTCAATTTTCATATACTATCAAGAGTAGTTCGTAATGTTACATTTCTGGATTCTTCATCGATTTTTTAAGTGTGACAGAATTTGCAGAGTTAATGTGGAACTCAAATTTTAACTCGGGTTAGCTTTCCGTATTTCACTGATGATGAGGTTTCAATTATAATTCACCCCGACTCTAAATGTGTGACGAGATACAAGACCATTGCTCTGCAGATGATTTATTATTGACAATTAATTACAATTATTGACTATTAGTTACAATACTTTATTGAAAATCTAACAAATTTACCATTAACTGTGTACACTTGTTTGAACGTTTCTTAAAATTTACAGTTGATATAATTACGATTATGAGTCAATACTTGCAAGTCTACGTTAAGACAGTAACTCGTTATGATAGGTACCTAAATGTTAACATATAGAATATCCGACATTGCAATTGCAATGGAAGTTACAAGAAAGTTATATTATATTTATTACACGTTATTATATATATATATTTATTACACATTATATTATATTTATTATAAAATATCAATATTCTTATATCGTTTACTGTCACTTACAATTATGACAAACTGGGGCGCTACAATTTCATTGAAAAACCTGCAAACCGTTTAAGAACGTACTTATTAATATGATTTGATAAGATATAATCGATGATTCTTATATCTAAAATCTATTGAAATTATATATTAAAAAACCTTCTATTTAATTTCTTTAATTTTTTCGCGTTGAGTCATATACTGTTGCCAGTGGAGGACCATTTATTCCGAAGCACTTCGTCCGGATATGCCGTGTATACCTTATCTGCAACTTTTACTATTCCTGGTATGAATGTTTCGCAATGTAGTGATAACAAATGTACTCTCATGTCTGTGGGGACATGAAATATTGCTTCATTTCTGGATCTACATCAGACAAAAAAGAAAAATATAAATATGTATTACAAATATTTAATTAGGATTTTCTTTCTTAATCGTGATGCTTGGTATTACGTGGAGATTTTCTTTCATTCCGTAAAAAATACTTTTGACTTGTACTAATATAATGGGTTAATTCGAAAAGTAGAGAAACGCGAGTAAATTATGCAAATAAGGTAATGCATGCAATTACTTCAGACGTGGTCTAATAGTCTTTATAACCGAGTCCCCTATCTTAAACAAATCCATTTCGTCCTCCTTGAAAGGAATCTTGGTTGTGATAATAATATTCGGACTAAAGTCGCTCATTTCGATGTAGTCCTTCAAATTTTTCTTTACCTCTAAGAAGGATTCTTGTGACATCACCTTACAAGATGGTGAGATTGGCAAATTCTGAAAAAAAACAGGTAAATATTGATTTGGATTTGAAAGAATTAACAAGACTATTCGGTCCATTTATGCTAATCCGTTTATACTGATTAAATGTTACAACTCGAGACATTTCAATACCTGTCTTTTTATCTCGTCATATTCCGGCATGTATAACCATTGAATATAGTCCTCTAATTTCAAGGTAATTGCGAGTGGGTGCGAAAATCCTAAACGTACATTTTTTGGACAGTAATTCTCAGATGTATTTTTTAGATATCTGTAAATCAGTTCGTTTGCGCATATTAGATTCTTCTTGTGGGTAAAACAAACTATTGCGGAATATCAGATATTATTTGATACACACTGATCTAACCAATCGGCGGCGCCATCGCCGCAATCGTAGTACATCTTTTTCCTTATGTATTTACTATTTATCAACTGTGTGCATATTACTTGTTCGTTTTGTTGTATTTTATTCAGGTTCAGAGTTAACTTCAATTCGAATTTTGATAACTCCAATTTGTCATTTTCTACATATTTCACTGTTATTTTCGATAAATAGGTAGCATTGTTATTGTAGACGCATTTACTCGTGTTATTATATATTACGAACATTCTAACAGCGTGAAATAAAAATTCTTATATTATTTTTGCCGGTGCAACACACATTCGCGTATAATTGACTAGTGAGTTATGCGAGAGTTCAACGTTTTTGCAACGATTTCAGCGATATAAGTCGTGTTCTTTTCAGCTGAACTAGTACTGCACTGGAAGAAGAAACTCTCCCATCAATGCTTGATTATGTGTTTGTTTCATTCTAAAGGCAAAAGGTGCGACTTAGCATTCAGCTAAAAGGAACAGACCTATTGTTATTCGTGCGAGCGCAAAATGGGCAAGCATTTAAACTCAAGAAAGTCAAATAATTGTGCATCGCGACTCACTCATCCCAAAGATTTTCATTGAAAGTTATTCCATTGTAGCCAATCATAATTTCTTTAGCATTTATAGGATGGCACGATGTCAATGGATATACTTGTAGTTTTTTGACTTGACCGATTTCGATCCAATTACTTTTGTGTTCTTCAAATGTGTTGATTATTGGATACATCGATATATTGCCACGTTAGATATTCTAGGTTCTCTAAATTATATCGCTTTCACAGAGACAGGATGCAGGAATTTACAATTGCTAGAAAACCTGAAATTCTGAATAATTATTTATTGTGAGACTTGTTTTTTTTTAAAGTTTATCATGCGACGTGTTCTTTTCCTCTGATATTTGAAAGAGTTGAAAGAGGAATGTCCCGTTTGTTTTCTCGGTATGCTGATTTAAGTCAGTGATTCACAAAATTTTTTTTCGGGTTTTCGGCGCACTGTAAAATATGTAAAGATTTTCTGCCTTTGTGCACTTCGTGTACAAGATTAATAGTCACATATCAAATGATGCGTGATACAGCAATCTTTTTTTATTAATAACTAAAAAATCTAAATGAATATTTGCAAACTGGTAAAGAACTTTCTTGTTCAGTTTAACCTAATGTATAAATACACGGCGCATATCATACTTACATTCTGCACCATATTTCGCGTAATCAATCGCTAATCTTCTTCAATTAATAACTAAACATTTTACGTGATTATTCGCAAAATATTAGAGGAATACTTGTTCAGTTTGATTTAATCTACACGTATACGAGAGTTGTATATGTCATCAGATATTCTGTATATACACATATTTAAATACTAATCTACCTCTCTTTTTATAGTTTATATACATCTCTATTAGATAAACTATTAGATAAAATACACAAATACAACATCCATCAGGAAAATAAAAAAATAAGTTTTTTTCGTATTTATAATATTGTGTATATATATTTATTAAAATTTTTGTTTCAAATTAACACTTAAAGAAATAAACTTATACGAACGAGTGTAATTTTGTTTAAGAAATAAGTAAGTTTAATAAATAATTTTGTTTGACAAATTAGTGCTCCTCTTAATGCGTCATTGAAAATACAGTATTTAGCGATAAAACTACCTTAAGATGTGTCATAAGTTTTGCTACCTGGGCCGCTTTGTTCACGCACTTTCTTATTTATGAAATATCAGTTGCGATATCCTACCGACAATGCCGTTTCTTAATTTATCGAACGTGGCTCCTCCGCGATTTTACGATTTATACCTTCTTTGATCGACCAAATTTTTAGAACAAACTGAAGAAATAATTGATCTATGATCGGACCGATTCTTCTATCGCAACGATTTGTATTTATTCACACGGTTGACACCCGCGAAATGTTACCTGCTACGCAAATCTCGTGTAACGGACGCAAGCAATAGGTCGAACTACATGTTTACCTGATATATTATGCTTTCTATTTATTTCTGAGCATGTTGTTCATATCTCACGAAGAAGCGGGTATGTAAGCGAGCGATTTATCTTTGAATATCAACACGGTAAATAAAAGTTCTTTTAAGTCTTGGAGATTTTAATTTGTAATAACGTCATTTCGATTATTGTTTACGCCGGGTGCAATGAAGATCGTTAGTCTATGGCAGATTTACAAATTCGGGAAATCAAAAAAATAAAATAAAAACATCTGGAAGAAATTTTCTAACTTTCATCTTCAGGCATAGAGGGCGAATACTTCATCGCCTTTTTCTACAATTCCTGAGAACAGTACTTCGCAATGCAATAATACCAATTCCCATTTCATATCTATGGGCGTGTCTTTCAAGTTAATTTGCGATATCGGTCTAGATCAAATAAAGAAACACAAATTATGTAGATAATAACCATATTAATAATAACAGATAAATAAATATGTCAGAGACTATCAATGGAGCGATATCTCGAAATCATCATAAAAGATTCGAAATCTGTCTTAAACAAATTAAATCTATCCGATGAGATCGCGATCGCTGGTTAGTTAGCGCGCTCAAATATCTGCTGGATTTATATATATGTGATAAACGTATATATTCATTTTTATTACCTGTCTTTCAGATTGATATTATTGATATTATTGACGATCACGTGATCACCGATTCTAATTTTCTGCCACTTTTTCTCATTGAATGGTTTTTCATCAGTCGACGAAATAACAATATTTGGACTTAATTGTTGTAACTGTTCGTGTGAACATGTGCGGACTATTTCGTCAAACGTTTCAGACGATATTAACGTTAAAGGCGGAACACATTCGAAAGGCATCTGCAAAGAATAAATGCGAGTTGTGTGTATTAAACTAAAAATATAACGTCTTAGTATCGGGATTATGTCACACGAGATGTATCCAAGCATCACAAAACATTGGACCAACGTAGATTCTAGCGGCTAACCGCTATTGCCTAAATAATATGTGTCACTTGGATGATTAACTTGATTAGCTAATTACCAATAATTTTACTCGAGTTATATGATTGACGTTAACTGAAAAGATGAGAAAAATCCGACCAGATCCCAGGTAAACAATAGCTGTACGTAAATTTTTCAGCTACTTTACTAGTCATGTGCAAAGTGTAAATGTGGAATTTTTTCTTTCTCTCTCCCCCTTTATGAATAATTTATATGATACTTATAAATCCGTATTAATAGTCATTATTTGAGGCGCGTTTCAAATAAGATACTCAGATTTCAATTTAGAGTTAGATGAGAGTTTTCCAAGTAAATGGCGCGACTACAGATATAAATATCACACTTATCACAATTCAACTGAAGAACTTGGATCTGACTTTTAATAAAAATTTGAGTATCTCATTTCAGACAGGTTTCAAAAAATGGCTATTAATACGGAACACAGCGTGTTCGAATGTTTTTGACTGACTTTGAGTCAATTAATCAAATGCTTCTGCCAAGCCTTGCAATTGAGTAGTAAAGGCTATGATGTTATTAATGGACCCCGGATCGGTTATAATTAGTACATTCGAAAACGCTATTATCACATATTATATTTATCACATAAAACGACGATAAAAAAAAGAAAAATTATCACAACGGAGAAAGATTTGAAAAAAAATGATCAGAATTTACTCAAAATAATATGTGTGAAATGCAATATGAATATCTGAAAGTAAATCATAGTAAATTTGTCCATATAATAAATAATTCACATCATTGCATAATGTAAATATAATCAAAATTCAATATTGGCTCCATAAATATATCTAAAAGATTGTAAAGTTTGTCACGCCATGGTAATCATGAAAGTCTATTTTGGATCACTCGAATCGCTAGTTGTTAATGAATGAACATCTCACATTCGGAACATTTTAATACCATAAAATCCTTATAACTTTTGTTATCCATGTTCCACTTCTTAAATTGATTCGTAGTTTCTTCTAACTTTGTATTTTGTAATTCTAGATTGAATATGTATCCCAAGCGTAAATGATTGTTATTGGTGTAGCTGTAAAGCAATTAATCAATATTAAATGCACATTTTAGATGACATGTGAAATATCGCGAAATGTCGCAAAAATGATTAACTGCTCATACTTTCTAAGCCATTCGGCTATTGCGTCGCCGCAATCTAAGACTTGTACAAAAACTAAAAATTTATTAGAGAACGACGTCATACACGTCTTAATATTTCCATCAGCCATGATGTGTTGTAAAATCAAGACTATGGAATTCGAATGTCCTTTTAGTGCTACTGCATTTTTATCCAAGAACGAGACTGTAAACGTTTTGAACTTTGGTATTTCATTCTTCGTATAAATTACATTGGTCACTTCATCGTACACTACAAACATACTGATAATACGAAATAAAGGTTTAATACATTCGTTATCGTTGTTTGCTTGAGGAACTTTCCCTACTAACTATCTTGCATATTTTTATGTAATTGTATAAAATAGACATAGTTTATGTGTGAATACCAAAACTAATTATATATATTTCCGTTATATAGAATGGGCAACACATAATTTGGAAGTCTTAATTACTTCCGTTTCTACTGTATTAGTTCAAAGTATTTTTGTTATAAGTTATTTTATTTTAATTCGGTTGTATTGATTTACTTTGATTTAGAAAGGACTATAAATTGACGTTTTTTTCTCCTTTTTTGGTAATTCTTTTTTTTACAAAGTTTTTAAGGTCATCTTAATTTCTTTAAATAAAATTATGGAAAATAAATATCTTTTAGAAATATTTCGTATTTTATCTTGATAATTTCAGTATAAGATATGAAATATCTCGTAAACTGTTAATTTTTCGATTTATCTCATGTAAATACTTTTGTATGTAAAATAACGAGAGAAATCGATAGGTAAAATTAATATCTTGAGACCTTTATGTCAATAAAATATATAAATACGTCAATTTATTAAAATATACTGGGAGAAAAATTAAAGATGCGTTAATCATTAAAGTGTTAATTATTAATTATTAAAAGAATTATTAAGTATGTATCTATTTTTCGATTTCAATTTTAAACGCGCTTCTCGAAAGAAAATTAGTTAAAATGTGCAACGCGTGCCAAGTTCTGATCTAATCCGATCAATTCAGAAACAGGAATATAAATTCAATTAGTCTAAGGCCAGGTTACACCAACATTATTTTGGCTTTAAGCAAAACTTAAACATATATCTATCTTTATTTTTCTTTCTATATAAATAAAGGCAAACATATATTTAAGTCTCACTTAAAACCAAAATAACATTGATGCAACCGGGCCTAAGGAATTCTTCGATATTAAACAGTTAAATACCACTATTTAGTATATATTGATTATAGAGATTCAATTAGTAGTCGTAAACATCTATCATTTGTCTGTGTTTCAATCGAATATGAGATTAATTCGAATATACATGTTGCTGATTAAAAATTTGACTTGACATTTTGTAATAACGAAACGAATCGCTAAGAATTAATGTTTGGTCAATGAGATAGTAGAATAGAGTAGAGTTTATTAAACACTCTGGGGTGTACCCTTTAGAAATTATAGTATTTTGTAATTACTGGGCTACCCGAATCCGCGCGTTACTATACCTTTAGTAACATAATAGTTATATCAAAATTATGTAAGATTTTACAATAATAAATAGTAATTATTTCGTGAAACTGCAATTATTTCATGAAAAGGAGCAAAATATTACTATAATAATAAATAATTATTTCATAATAGAGAATAGTATATTTAATAAGAAAATAGAAAAGAAAAGAACGGAAACTTAAAAGAGAGAAATATAAAAGAAAAGATAGAGAGAGAAGCGCAAGAGTGTTATTTTAACTAGAATAATAATTTTTTATTTCAGTAAGCAGTTGTTAATCGCTACCAACATCGTTGAGCGGCTGTTATTGTCCAAAAATAAGTTTTTAGTGATTGAATATTTAAAAGTCTCAATACTGTCTCGTTTACTTGAAAGAATCCTGTGATATTGCATAAACTGAATTAGGTAATAACGATAGTAAGGACAATAAGAACTAAAACAGGCTTTAAACGCCAACAGTTACATAAATCAATTAAGAATTTATTTTCCGAACGTTTCTGATGTTTTTTGACCATTGAATGTGACCCTTTTCACGCGGTTGTCGATTATAAAAATGGTCTGTAAGGAATGGTCATAACGATTCCCAATCGCCGTTGTGTGAAGTAAAACCCGTCACGTCATTGTTCGCTAGCTAACCATACAATAGAAAACCGAATAAATTAAAATGGTTTATAAGTAAAAGGCGAGAAAAGTCTGCTTTATGGCTTCTATTGTCCTTACTATTGTTATTATTAATTTATATTTCCCAGAGCCGGTTAAATTAAATTAAATTAGGTCATGTATATTTCCGTTCATCTCAAACAGGAGTTTCGATTATGTTTCACGAATCCGTCAATTAATTGTCACCGCAAGAGAATAGGAAGTTTTTGCAATATCGTGTTTCAGATACGATAACGCTACAGTGCGTTCCGATATTCAGTGTTAGTACTTCATATCTATAGGATACGTAACACAAGTTGTATATTCGCAGTACTGGCAGCGAATATCGGAACGTACTTTAGCGTTACCGTATCTGAAAGACGGTACTGCAAATTCCGGCTTAACCGTCGTTACGTTAAGACGTGTTCGAACACGTTCGAACTTGCGATTTTTTGAGAAACGTATCTTGGTGAAAGGGTCATAAAGAAAGGTCTGAATTTAAGTAAAATAACCAGAGACAAAAGACAAAGATGCTATTGCAAAAACTCCATATTAAAGTAGTGAATTATACATCATACTTACTGATTTAGTACTGGAAATTTATTTTTATATCCACATATTTGGTTGCAATAAATACCGCATGATGTAACGCTCTCCGCAACGCCTTTTAACAGTGGATACACAAACATGGATTTCACTTTTCCAACTTTATGCCAAGTCGGGAAAGAATCCTCCTTGTTTGGCTTCCATTCCTCGGATTTCACGTCCTTCTTTGGTATTAGGTCCATGGTAATATAACTTTTATTTGTAACTTCTAGTCTGTTAGATATAGTTTTGTTAGATTGGGGCTCGAGCCACGTAGATTCTTCTTTGTCTAGTCTATAGATTCCAGTCTGTTGTTGAGAAGAGTGACTACAGGCTCTATATATAACTAGACTTAAGGTCATAGTACACAAAATTGTATACATCACAGACATGCGCAGTAAGCAAGAGACATTGGATTAACATTTAGAAACGTTGACTTTATGTGCATTGTTTGAACATTTTTTAATAATATTGCATTTATATTGTATTTATGATTTTTGATATGATTTTGATATGGTTTCTCTGAATGTTATTTAAACGTTTTAAAAACATTACAAAAAATATATTTTTTAAATGTTATTTTAATAATTTATTTGAGATTAATCAACATCCTAAAAATATTTCTGCCGATTAAAACGTTATAGCAACCCTGTTTCAACATTATTGAAACTTCCAAATCGCGGTCAACGTATGTTCATAATGATGTTTGATACAATATTAAACATTACGTATTTGACAATATTACAGGTTCTTCAATATCATTGTAGCAACGTTGTATTTATGATTTCTTGCTTACTGGATGTATACTAGACTATGCTTCTACGAGAGCTTCGAAAGTTATTTTGAGACACCTTGTATATAGTTTCCTCCTCGACTCATCTTCTCTCTTCAATCTAATATAAAACCTTAAATCGAAACATTTTAATTTTTTTTAGCTATTTGTTTTACATTTTTTATTTTCTATTTCCGATGAGAATTATTTTTGATCCATGACGTAAAACTCGGGAGAACATGATTTGTACAAAACTTTTCTCTGCCATTCTGCAAAAAACGTAAATTTTACGACTATAACGATTTTAAAGTCGCAAAATGAATGACATAGAAGTCGCTCGAAAAACCGGTTGGATCATCTCTTTTTTTTCTGTTATTCATTTTTGTTTCTTTTTTAAGATTTAGGGCCAAGTGTCGCGACCAACTCGCCTTGAAAGAGCTGTCCTCGGTCGCGAAATTTTACTCTTATTGGATCGTTGGTGCGAAATTGTCATGTCGGCTCTTCAGGAAAGAGGGTGAAGCGTAGCTGGTGGACGATTCATGGCGGATTTAAAGCAGATCTCCGATACTCTGACCTAAGATGTTTAAGAAAACGCGCGAAAGTTTTCGGAGGCACGGTAGGAAAAGTCTCGAGGTTATCGGGCAATGATAAAGCATGGGAAGAAAGGAAAGCGAGAAGAAAACTGCTATAAATTAACAAATAATTTGGAATCTTTTACGCGCGTCTCGAAAATCTCGCTACTTTCGTGTCCATGTCATGTAATGTGACGTTTAAGTTGAGTTCCGCTGCTAGTTGCTGAAGCAGGGGAAAATTCAACTTAAGGTTCTTGGTGATGTGGCAAAATGCGATGAGAAATTGTACCCACTTCCTCCGCACTTTTCCTCGGGACGATTCGAGCCTGATTTGCCTCGCGAATCTTTCAGGAGACCTTTTGGAATGGCAAAGGAACCGCGGAGATACCGTATGATCGATATACAGGTCGAGGATGACCCGGGAGTGGCTAGCGGGAAGTACGTCGCCTCCTCGTCCATGGACGTGCATGACATACCAATGACAACTCGGTTGAGGCGTCACGACACGACAGCGTGACTTACACGACACGACAGCACCGACGAGAGCCGGCTTGCGACCGCGTGCGCGCCTAGCCGGCTCGTCACGCAATTAATACTCCCGCAGAGAGTCGCTTGTTTACATACGTGCGATCGCGAATGTGTGCGACGTCGAGGACGACCGTTACGAATCTTTTCGAGACCAGTCTCGTTCGAACGACCGTCCGTGTACCTCGAGACCGACCGTGAAATCAGACGACGACGAATCCGACGGTGCGTTAGAAAATTTCCCGGAAAGACCGTATAAAGTACTTCTTTCCCTTCTCTTTCTTTTCCCATTTTCTCTCTCTTCTCTCTCTTGGACGTTTGAGTGTAGTTTTAGGGTTGAAAAAAATCAGTTCCTCATCCCTCGCACCTTCAGCAATTTCTCAAGGGTAACGCGATGTATCCCGGATTGAATCCGACAATTGGTAGTATGCCACAGAGCATAGTGGGTTTTGTTATCCCTTGCAAAGCGCACATTTGAAGAGGTGGGAATTGCTCTCGGCTGAGAGGGAGAGAAAATCTAATTTCGTTATGAAGGTGTGTGGTGCAGCTTGATGGTGGTCCTGACTCTTCGACAGGTAAATGACGTTCATCGTTGCTCCGTGATTATTTCGCGTCGAGGTTCCATTTATCAACTGTGTGCACTTCATTTGTTCGTTTTGCTGTATTTTATCCAGGTTCAGAGTTAACTTCAAATCGAATATTGATAACTCCAATTTGTCATTTGCCACGTATTTCACTGTTATTTGCGATAAATAGACAACAATGTTATCGTAGACGCATTTACTCGTGTTATTATATATTACGAACATTCTGACAGCGTGAAATAAAAATTCTTATATTATTTTTGCCGGTGCAACACACATTCTCGTATAATTGACGAGTTATGCGTGAGTTCAACGTTTTTGAAACGATTTCAGCGATATAAGTCTTGTTCTTTTCAGCTGAACTAGTGCTGCACTGGAAGAAGAAACTTCTCTCCCCTCAATGCTTGATTATGTGTTTGTTTCACTCTAAAGACAAAAGATGCGACCTAGCATTCAGCTAAAAGGAACAGACCTATTGTTATTCGTGCAAGCGCAAAATGGGTAAGCGTTTAAACTCAAGAAAGTCAAATAATTGTGCATCGCGATTCACTTATTCCAAAGATTTTCATTGAAAGTTATTCCATTGTAGCCAATTATAACTTCTTTAGCATTTATAGGATGGCACGATGTCAGTGGATATACTTGTAGTTTTTTGACTTGACCGATTTCGATCCAATGATTTTTGTGTTCTTCAAATATGTTGATTATTGGATACAACGATATATTGCAATGTTAGATATTCTAGGTTCTCTAAATTATATCGCTCTCACAAAGACATGCTACAGGAATTTACAATTGCTAGAAAACCTGAAATTCTGAACAATTATTGTGAGACTTGTTTTCTTTAAAAGTTTATCATGCGACCCGTTCTTTTCTTCTGATATTTTCAGTTAAAAGAGGAATGTCTCGTTCGTTTTCTCGGTATACTGACTTAAGTCAGTGATTCACAAAGTTTTTTTCTGGTTCACGGCGTACTGTAAAATATGTAAGGATTTTCTGCCTTTGTGCACTTCGTGTACAAGATTAATAGCCACATATCAAATGATGCGTGATTTAGCAATCTTTTTTTATTAATAACTGAAAAATCTAAGTGACTATTTGCAAACTGGTAAAGAACTTTCTTGTTCAGTTTAACCTAATATAATAAATACACAGCGCATATCATACTTACACTCTGCACCATATCTCGCGTGATCAATTGCCAATCTTCTTTAATTAGTAACTAAAAATTTTACGTGATTGTTCGCAAAATACTAGAGGAATTTTTTATTCAGTTTGATTTAATCTACACGTATACGAGAGTTGTATATGTATCATCAGACATTCTGTATATACACATATTTAAATACTAATCTAACTCCCTTTTTATAGTTTGTATATATCTCTATTAGATAAACTACACAGAAAGAACGATTTATTGATTCAAATAAATGTTTCTTTGGAATAGTCCAAACGAATTATTTGGTTGACACAAGAAAAATATTTCTTTGGTACTAAGCCGCAAATAAATATTTTTGTTGCTTCAAACAAAATTTTGTTTGATCAATCGAAAAATTCGTTTGGACTATTCCAAAGAAGCGTTTATTTGATTCATCCAAATCGTTCTTTCTGTATATTAAATAAAATACACAAATACAACACCCATCAGGGATATAAAAAAATAACTGTTTTTTTTCGTAACATTGTTTTTTTTATAACATTGTGTGTATATATTTTTTATAACATTGTGTGTATATATATTTATTTCAATTTTTTGTTTTAATATTTTTTGTTTTAATTAACACTTAACAGAGAAATAAACTTATAGGAACAAGTGTAATTTTGTTTAAGAAATAAATAAGTTTGATAAATAATTTTGTTTAACAAATTAGTGCTTCTTTTAATGCGTCATTGAAAATACAATATTTAACGATAAAATTACCTTAAGATGTGTCATAAGTTTTGCTACCTGGGCTGCTTTGTTCACGCACTTTCTTATGAAATATTAGTTGCCATATTCTATTGACGACGCCGTTTCTTAATTTATTGAACGTGGATTCTTTGCGATCTTACGATTTATACTCTCTTTGATCGACCAAATTTTTAGAACAAACTGAAGAAGCAATTGATCCATGATCGGACCAATCGCTTCCATCGCAACGATTTGTATTTATTCACATTTCACGGTTGACACCCGTGAAATGTTACCTGCTACGCAAATCTCGTGTAACGGACGCAAGCAATAGGTCGAACTACATGTTTACCTGATTTATTATGCTTTCTATTTATTTCTGAGCATATTGTTCATATCTCACGAAGAAGCGGATATGTAAGCGAACGACTTATCTTTGAATATCAACACGGTAAATGAAAGTTCTTTTATGCCTTGGAGATTTTAATTTGTAATAAGGTCATTTCGATTATTGTTTACGCCGGGTGCAATGAAGATCGTTAATCTATGACAGATTTACAAATTCGGGAAATCAAAATGTAAAATAAAAAAAACATCTGGAAGAAATTTTCTAACTATCAACTTCTTCATCATCTCCACTATCATAAAGGGCGAATACTTCATCGTCTTCTTCCACAACTCCTGAGCACACTACTTCGCAATGCAATAATAACATTTCCCATTGCAAATCTATGGGCATGTCTTTCAAATTGATTTGCGATGTCGGACTAGATCAAATAAAGAAACACGAATTATCTAGATAATAATCATATTAATAATAACAGATAAATAAATAAGTCAAAGACTACCAATGGAACGATATCTCGAAATCATCATAAAAGTTTCGAAATCTGTCTTAAACAAATTAAATCGATCCGATGAGATCGCGATTGCTGGTTAGCGCGCTCGAATATCTGCTGGATTCATATATATGTGGTAAACGTATATATTCACTTTAATTACCTGTCTTCCAAGTTGATATTATAGACATTATTGACGACCACGTGATTACCGATTTTAATTTTCTTCCACTTTTTCTCATTGAATGGTTTTTGACCAATCGACGAAATAATAATATTCGGATTTAATTGTTGTAACTGCTCGTATGAGCATGAATGGACTATTTCGTCAAACGTTTCGCACGTTACTAACCTTACAGACGGAACACGTTCGAAAAGCATCTGCAAAGAATAAATGCGAGTTGTGTGTATTAAACTAAAAATATAACGTTTTAGTGTCGGGATGATGTCACACGAGATGTATCCGAGCATCACCAACGTAGATTCTATAGCGGCTAACCGCTATTTGGCTAAATAATATGTGCTACTTGGGTGATTAGTTTGATTAGCTAATTTTCAATAATTTTACTCGAGTTATATGATTGACGTTAACTGGAAAGATGAAAAAATTCGACCAGATCTCAGGTAGACAACTGTACGTATTAAAAATAAATTTTTCAGCTATTTTACTCATGTGCAAAGTTAAATGATCAAAATGTGTAAATGTGGAATTTTTCTTTCTCTCTCCCTCTTTATAAATTACTTATATGATATAAGCCCGTATTAATAGTCATTATTTGAGACGCGTTTCAAATAAGATACTCAAATTTCAATTTAGAGTTAGATGAAAGTTTTTCAATTGAATCGCACGACTGTAGATATAAATGTCACACTTATCACAATTCAACTGAAGAACTTAGATCTGACTTTGAATAAAAATCTGAGTGTCGCATTTCAGACAGGTTTCAAAAAATGACTGTTAATACGGACCACAGCGTGTTCGAATGTATTTCGAATGTTTTTGACTGAATTGGGGCAATTGATCAAATGCTTCTGCCAAGCCTTGCAATTGAGTAGTAAAGGCTATGATGTTATTAATGAACCCCGGATCGATAATAATTCGTATCTTTGAAAACGTTATTATATACGTTATTTATCACATAAAACGACGATAAAAAAAAGAAAAATTATCACAACGGAGGAAGATTCGAAAAAAATGATCAGAATTTACTCAAAATAATATGTGTGAAATGCAATATGAATATCTGAGAGTAAATCATAGTAAATTTGTCCATATAATAAATAATTCACATCATTGCATAATGTAAATATAATCAAAATTCAATATTGGCTCCATAAATATATCTAAAAGATTGTAAAGTTTGTCACGCCATGGTAATCATAAAAGTCTATCTGGGATCACTCGAATCGCTAGTTGTTAATGAATAAACGTTTCACAATTTGGGACATTTTAATACCATAAACTCCCTGGAATCGCTCTTAAACAAGTTGCGTCCCTCAAAGTCCTCCTTAGCTTTTTCAAACTTTTGCGGTCCTAGATCATGTATAAATCCCAAGCGTAAACGATTGTTATTGGTGTTTCTGTAAAGCAATTAATCAATATTAAATCAATATTAAATTTTAGATGACATATCGCGAAATGTCGCAAAAATGATTAACTGCTCATACCTTCTAAGCCAGTTGGCTACTACGTCGCCGCAATCTAAGACACTTACAAAAACTATAAATTTATTATAGAATGACGTCACCAACGTTTTAACATTTCCATTAGCCACGATCTTAGGTAGAATTAGGGCTATGGAATTTGAATGTACTCTCAGTGCTATTACACTGTGATCCATGATCAAGACTGTAAACGTGTTCAACTCGTGTACTTCATTCGCCGTACAAATTGCTCTGGACACTTCATCGTACACTACAAACATTCTGATAATACGAAATAAAAGTTTAATACATTTACTATCGTTGTTTGCTTGAGGAACTTTCCCTACCAACTATCTTGCATATTTTTATGTAATTGTATAAAACAGACATAGTTTATGTGTGAATAGCAGAACTAATTATATATATTTCCGTTATATAGAATGGGCAATACATAATTTGGAAGTTTTAATTACTTCTGTTTCTACTGGATCAGTTTAAACTATTTTTGTTGTAAGTTGTTTTATTTTAGTTCGGTTGTTTTGTTTTATTTTACTTTGGTTTAGAAGGGACTATGAATTGACGTTTTTTTCTTTTTTTTGTAATTTTTTTTAAGATATAAGTTTTTAAGGTCATCTTAATTTCTTTAAATAAAATTATGGAAAGTAAATATCTCTTAGAAATATTTTGTATTTTATCTTGATAATTTCAATATAAAATATGAAATATCTCGTAAATTTTTCGATTTATCTTATGTAAATACTTTTATATGTAAAATAATGAGAGAAATCGATAGGTAAAATTAATATCTTGAGACTTTTATATTAATAAAGTATATAAATACATGAATTTATTAAAATATATTGGAAGAGAAATTAAAGATGTGTTAATCATTAAAGTGTTAATTATTAATTATTAAAAGAATTATTAAGTATGTATTTATTTTTCGATTTCAATTTTAAACACGCTTCTCGAAAGAAAATTAATTAAAATGTGCAACGCGTGCCGAGTTCTGATCTAATCCGATCAATTCAGAGATAAGAATATCAATTCCATTAATCTAAGGAATTCTTCGATATTAAACAGTTGAATACCACTATTTGGTCTGATTATAGATATTCAATTAGTAGTCGTAAACATCTATCATTTGTCTGTGTTTCAATCAAACAAGAGATTAATTCGAATATACATGTTAATGATTAGAAATTTGACTTGACATTATTATTTTGTAATAACGAAACAAATCGCTAAGAATTAATGTTTAGTCAATGAGAAAGTAGAGTAGGGTAGAGTTTATTAAACACTCTGGGGTGTACCCTTTAGAAATTATAGTATTTTGTAATTACTGGGATACCCGAGTCCGCGCGTTACTATACCTTTAGTAACATACTAGTTATATCAAAATTATGTAAGATTTTACAATAATAAACAGTAATTATTTCGTAAAACCGCAATTATTTTATGAAAAGGAGTAAAATATTACTATAATAATAAATAATTATTTCATAATAGAGAATAATATATTTAATAAGAAAATAGAAAAGAAAAGAACGAAAACGTAAAAGAGAAATATGAAAGAAAAGATAGAGAGAGAAGCGCAAGCATGTTATTTTAATTAGAATAATAATTTTTTATTTCAGTAAGCAGTTGTTAATCGCTACCAACATCTTTGAGCGACTATTATTGTCCAAAAATAAATTTTTAGTGATTGAATATTTGAAAGTCTCAATACTGTCTCGTTTAGTTTACTTGAAAGAATTCTGTGATATTGCATAAACTGATTTAGGTAATAACAATAGTAAGGACAATAAGAGTCAAAAAGTAGATTTTAAGCGCCAACAGTTACATAAGGTAAATGTCCTAGTGATTGAACGTGTACCGATAATTGAATTATTAATAATATATTTGTGTTTGTTAAGCTTGTTGTTTTGCTTATCAATAAATGAAACAAAATCACAAAGTAACTAAATATTTCTTTTCATTTATTATATTATTTTGTATATTGAAAAGCATTTTAATAAAGAAAATACAAAACTAATATGTTAATCATTGGGACATGTATGTTTGATCACTGGGACGTTTACCTTAAATCAATTACGAATTTATTTTCCAAACGTTTCCAACATTTTTCGACCATTTAATGTGGCCCTCTTCACGCGGTTGTCGATTATAAAAATGACCAATAAAGAATGGTCACGATTCCCTATCGCCGTTGTGTGAAGTAAAATCCGTCACATCATTGTTCGCTAGCTAATATTCGCATACAATAGAAAACCGAATAAATTGAAATGGTTTATAAGTAAAAGGCGAGAAAAGTCTGCTTTTTGGCTCCTATTGTCCTTACTATTGTTATTATTAATTTGTATTTCCCAGAGCCGGTTAAATTAAATTGAATTAGGTAATGTATGTTTCCATTCATCTCAAGCAGGAGTTTCGATTGATGCATATGTTTCACGAATATCCGCCAATTATTAATAATCCACCAATTAATTGTCACCGCAAGAGAATAGGAAGTTTTTGCGATATCGTGTCTCAGATACGATAACGCTACAGTGCGATCATCATCTGTCAATTTGCTTACTGCTTACGTTTTACTGCTTAAGTTTTTCTATGTGTCACCAGTTTAAGGGCCTCCACACAAATTGATATAACAGTAACGTAAGACGTACCGTAAAAATTGACTAATTACAATTGAGTATTCATAAAAATGGCGATCTTACGTTTCGACGATTCTCAACGTGATTGGTCAATTGTTACGGTACGTCTTACGTTACTCTTATGTTAATTTGTGAACGCCCTAATCGTATAATTGGTGGGGAGAAGGAAAGAGGAAAAGTGAGACACATGTAAAAAATTTAATTCTAGGCATTCAATATCGTGTCTCAGATACGATAACGCTACATCCGATATTCAGTATTAGTACTTCATATCTATAGGATACGTAACACAAGTTGTATATTCGCAGTACTGGCAGTGAATATCGGAACGTATTTTAGCGTTACCGTATCTGAAAGACGGTATTGCAAGTTTCGCCTTAACCGCCGTTACGTTAAGACGTACTCGAACACGTTCGGACTTGCGATTTTTTGAGAAACGTATCTTTTCGTATCTTGGTGAAAGGGCTATAAATAAAGATTTGAATTCAAGTAAAATAACCAGAGACAAGAGACAAAGACACTATTGCAAAAACTCAATATTAAAATAGTGAATTATACATCATACTTACTCATTTAGTACTGAAGTTTTGTTAAGATATCCACATAGTTGATTGCGATAAATACAGCATGTATCAACACTCTCCGGAGAACCTTTTAACAGCGGATACAAGTACATGGCTCTCACTTTTCCAACTTTATGCCAAGTCGGGTAAAGTTCCTTGTTTGACTTCCATTCCTCGGATTTCACGTCTTCCTTTGGTTTTAGGTCCATGGTAATACAACTTTTATTTGTAACTTCGAGTCTATTAGATTTAATTTCGTTAGATTAGTGCTCGAGCCACGTGGATTCTTCTTTGTCTGATTCCAGTCTATTGTCGAGAAGAGTGACTATAGGCTCTATATATAACTAGACTTAAGGCCATAGTACACAAAATTGTATACATTACAGACGTGTATACTAGTGCAGAGGACTGATGGAAGGACAGATATATGCGTCCAGTAAAGCGTTCCTTGGCTTAGGGCCGTAGCACACAGAAAAACTTAAGCAGTAAGACGTAAGCAGTAAGCAAATTGACCAATCACAGTCATTGATTCTTGGACCGTAAGAAGAATCAATGACTGTGATTGGTCAATTTGCTTACTGCTTACGTTTTATTGCTTAAGTTTTTCTATGTGCCACCAGCTTAAGGGCCATCACATACAAATTGGCATAAGAGTAAAGGGACGTCTACATTGGAAGTAAATAGCAAGAAGTAGGAAGTAAGAGTAAGAAATTGATCAACCACAGTCGAATGTGAGAAGAATAATCAACTATGATTGGTCAATTTCTTATTCTTACTTCCTACTTCTTACTGCTTACTTCCAATGTAGACGTCCCTTAACGTAAGACGTACCGTAAAAATTGACCAGTTACAATCGAGTATTCATAAAAATAGCGATCTTACGTTTCGACGATTCTCAACGTCAATTCTTACGGTACGTTTTACGTTACTGTTATATCAATTTGTGAAGGCCCTAATCGTATAATTGGTGGGGAAAAGGAAAGAGGAAAAGTGAGACACATGTAAAAAATTTATTTCTATGTATTCACGTTTTGTATGTAATACATACTTCCCAGAGTTCACTTTTTGATATTGTATATAAGGCAGTCTAGTTATATATAGAAGTTTGTGGCGACACTACACGTCACAGATTTCAACTTGTTTCTGGTTTTTTGGCATCTATAGTGGATTTTAAAATTTATAGTTGGCAATACTGTTTTAGTGTCATGTCTCGTAGAACGTGACGTGGTGAATATACGTTAGGAACGCTACTCACACACGTAGTTTCTCGATATGATTACTTTTTGTTAATGCCACTGTAACTGAACCTCAATTTATCTTTCCTTCTAATAACAATTTTGTCCAGTTCTGAACAAAAAAGCCCTCTATCTTTTTCCTAATAAAAATCCTTTGTAGATTTTTAGTAATTAATATTAATATATTATCGCAAGCGATCATCCGCCAGTCCTCTTTAATTAATAATTAAAAGTGTACAAAGTTATTATGAAAATAGTAAAGGACTTTTTTGTTCAATTTGACTTAAGCTTTGTACAAGCATGCGATATTATACAAATCTTTTTTAGTTAATATCTAGATAATTATTACAAATATCATAAAACGATATAGGACTTTTATACTTACTTGAATCCATACTATGCTTCTACGAGAGCTTCGAAGGTTGTTTTGAGACACCTTGTATGTAGTTTCTTCCTCGACTCATCTTCCCTCTTCAATCTAATATAAAACCTTAAATCAAAACATTTTAATTTTTTTAACTATTTGTTTTACATTTTTTATTTTCTATTTCCGATGAGAATTATTTTTGATCCACGACGTAAAACTCGGGAGAACATAATTTTTACAAAATTTTTCTCTGCCATTCTGCAAAAAACATAAATTTTACAACGACTACCAACTCTTCGCGAAACTGCAACGATTTTAAAGTCGCAAAACGAATGACGTAGAAGTCGCTCGAAAAACCGGTTGGATTATCTCTTTTTTATTCTGTTATGCATTTTTTGTTTCCTTTTTAAGATTTAGGGCCAAGTGCCGCAACCAACTCGCCTTGAAAGAGCTGTCCTCGGCCGCGAAATTTTACTCTTATTGGATCGTTGGTGCGAAATTGTCGTATCGGCTCTTCGGGAAAGAGGGTCAAGCGAAGCTGGTGAACGATTCACGGCGGATTTAAAGCAGACTCGGGATACTCTGACCCAAGACGTTTAAGAAAACGCGCGAAAGTTTTCGGAGGCACGGTAGGAAAAGTCTCGAGATTATCGGGGAATGATAAAACACGGGAAAGAAGGAGAGCGAGAAGAAAGCTGCTATAAATTAACAAGTTATTTGGAAACTTTTACGCGTAACTTCCTTTTCGAAAATCTCGCTATTTTCGTGTCTATGTCATGTAATGTGACGTTTAAGTTGAGTTCCGCTGGTAGTTATTGAATCAGGGGAAAATTCAACTTAAGGTGATGTGACAAAATGCGATGAGAAATTGTACTCCCTCCGCACTTTTCCTCGGGACGATTCGAGCCTGATTTGCCTCGCGAATCCTTCAGGAGAACTTCTGGAATGGCAAAGGAACCGCGGAAATACCGTACAATCGATATACAGATCGAGGATGACCCGAGGAGTGCATAGCGGGAAGTACGTCGCCTCCTTGTCCATGGACGTGCATCACATACCAATGACAACTCGGTTGAGGCGTCACGGCGTGACTTACTTACACGACACGACAGCACCGACGAGAGCTGGCTTGCGACCGCGTGCGCGCCTAGCCGGCTCGTCACGCAATTAATACTCCCGCAGAGAGCCGCTCGTTTACATATGTGCGATCGCGAATGTGGAGGTGTGCGACGCCGAGGACGACCTGGAACCGTTACAAGTCTTTTCGAGACCAGTCTCGTTCGAACGACCGTCCGCGTACTTCGAGACCGATCGCGAAATCCGACGACGACGAATCTTACGGTGCGTTGGAAAATTTCCCAGAAAGACGGTATAAAGTACTTCTGTTTCTTTTTCCACTTTTTCTTTTCTCTCTCTTCTCTCTCTTGGACGTTTGAGTGTAGTCTTAGGATTGAAATAATCAGTTTCTCATCCGTCGCACACCTTCAGCAACTTCTCAAGGGTAACGCGATACATCCCGGATTGAGTCCGACGATTGGTGGTATGCCACAGAGCATAGTGGGTTTTGTTATCCCTTGCAAAGCGCGCATTTGAAGAGGTGGTAATTGCTTTCGGCTGATAGCGAGAGAGAATCTAATTTCGTTATGAAGGTGTTGTGGTGCAGCTTGATGGTGGTCCTGACTCTTCGACAGGTAAATGACGTTCATCGTTGCTCCGTGATTATTTCGCGTCGAGGTGCAACGATAAGTGCAAATCGGCGTTTTGACGCGTCAAACGTAAGAAGAATGTTGCTGTTTGCAGAGTTCACCATTTCGATGGTTTGATCAGAAATCGAGGTGTCGTTTGAGAGAAGCCTATTTTTCTCCTCACCTTCGCCGGCGATAAATTTCGTTCGCGTGATATCGCGTTTTCGATATAGCGTCCCTCGCTCAACTCTGACATTTCACGTTGTATTAGTAATAACGCTGCCGTCTGATCCGCTTCCAATGTAAAATATTTCCATATAAACACCGCTATAATCGCGACTAACGGCACGGACTAAAGCCGGCTTTCGTGCGCTTCGGCGGAAATGTTAATTAAAATTCCTCCACGGCTCCAGGCTACCGCCGGAATCGTTAGGAAGCCACCGGCCTTTGCAACACCAGTGTACTCGAACTCGTATCTTCCCGCCGCTATGCAGGTGAGTCACTTTACTCGAATTAATGAGAGAAGATTCTGCGAACATTATGTGCCCGTCTAATTTCGCTTAATTGACGATTGGCTAATAACTACCGGGTGTACCGAGTATATTTTACACACTTGTGTTTTTTCGTTGATTCGTCGTTACGCGCACCTGACCTTCACATTTTTCCTAATGACGTCTGAACTTTAGATATAGTTTATCACAGCGAGGAATTTAAAGAAATTTAATATTTGTAACGAAACTTTCAGTGATAACTCGCCTATTTATTTTTACTGGTCCAATTTTTACTAGCCTGATAATTTGTCGATCTATAGAATCCTACCCGGCAAAAAAAAGTTCAGATAAAAGCCAGATATAGATTTTGTCAAGAGCTGATCAGATATAATCAGATATAATTCAGATATGATTGAGATCTGTCCACATATAATCATATATAATCATATATACAATTATATATAATTATATATGGACAGATCTGAATCATATTTGAATTATATCTGATTATATCTGATCAGATCTTGGACAAAATCCATATCTGGCTTTTATCTAAACTTTTTTTTCCCGGGTACTAATATCTCTTTCTCTCAATTACTAAAAATGTCAATATTATTATTATTTCTTTTTATTTTCACTGAGTATAGAACGGTGACAGTTTTACTATAATTTTGATATAATACCCAAAGATGGAGCAACAGCTAAAATGTTTTCTTTATATAAAGACTTTATATAAGGACAGAAATTGGATTTTATAATAAATTCGGTAGACAAGAAGAGCGCGACGTAAAAGTAGAAATGGCTGTTTAAAATGTAAATAATAATTTACACAAACGTACTGATGTAAATAACGAGAGGAAATGTTTTACAGTAGTGTAAAAGAAGGCACCCTTAAACTTCAAGATTATATAGGATGAAAGGGAGAGAGAGGTTTGAAAGCGAGTTATATGAACATTATTCGAGTGTAATTACAAGTTTAAATGGATCGTAACGCGGCAAAATTTATTGCAGAGATACAGAAAAAGTGTAATATACGTCGTATATACCTACATATATTTTGCGTGTTTTCGCGTACCTTAGCAAAATTATTTCAGACCCAGATCTTGTCGAGTTTTCGAACTATCGAGTATTGGACATAGAGAGAGATAGCTATGTATCTCTGAATCAGGTAATTTTCCACGCGGTCGAGCAACTGAAGCTCGTCCAGTCGGAGGAAATGCTGCTGGAGCATTCAACAGCTAAACCCCTGCCGACGATTCAATCGATGAAGCATCAGCAACCGCAGTCGACGACGCCCAAAGCGACCTCCGCGATTTCCACAGCTGCAACCACGGCGATGCACAGCGAGGTGGCGGGGACTTCGTCTTCAATTTCGCCTGCCAATTTCGTGACCAAGGTATCGAGTCACGGATCGTCCGAGACCTATGACGACCTGACGAAGACCGTCCAACGCATGGAGGCGTCGACTGCGAGTGTTCCAGCTTCGTTCGACCACGAAGAATCGCCCGAGGTAAATGAGGAGACCGCCGAAACGAACTATGCCACGCCGGAGACGAATCACGAGTTACCGGAGCCCATGTTGGAGTTCCAGGAACTGAATCAGGAAGTATCGGAGGTGAGCGAGGGGAATAAGACCCCGACGAACGAGAATGCTTTTAGCGGGACGCCGGAGATCGAAAGTTCGTCGGACGACGATGCGTCGCCGCAACGATCAACGCAGGCGACCGTCTCGGGAACGCCGGACGATTCGAAAAGAAAGGAACCGACCATCGATAGTATCGTGGACGAAATTTACGTAATCGTCAGGCCAACGATGTCCCCGTTAATCGAGGATTCGAACGTCACCGACAAATCCAAGGGCATGACCGGTATTTCAATCGAGAAGATGGAGAACATTGAGGACGAGGAGGAAGAGACGAGGTGAGTATTTCCCTACGATTACTGCGCTGAGGAAAATAAAAATAGATGATCTCATTAAAATCATCAGTCACAATGAAAGAAAAGAATAAATATTTACTGATAAAATTAAAGGAAAATTAGACATTTGCTAATAAACATAATATGTAAACATTTAATAGAGTCCTAATAAAATCAACAAAGGTATCTTATAATAACGATTCTAATAAATTATTTTGTTTTATTGTTATAATAAAAAAGTAGTAACATGCATATAAAATTATTATCACTTACTGCAAAAATGGCTTTCCTTAACGATAATTATTTCACTGTGCAGTTATAATCACAAACAGCGAATACTTTTCTCTCAGTATCGTTGAAAAATCGAGAAAAAAATATCGCGTTTACTTTTGGCGAAAATTTCATAATAGTAATTTGCTAAAACCGTTAATAATAACAGACATTTCGAAAATAAATATCAGTCAAGAACATTTTAATGAAGACTCACCTGAACCGTTCTTCCGTTTCTGCGACCGTAGGTTTACTTTGCTGGGCGAGAAAGTGGCTCAAGTGCCGAGACCGAGCTTAAACAGTTATTTGAGGCGTACTAAAGTACCACCTACTTATGCACTTCAGCAACTTGCGGATCTGTACGATGCTCTTAGCAAGGACGCGCGTAAACAAGGGTTAGCGCGTTATACCGGCTACTCTGACGATGTCCTGAAGGTCCTGCAGTCGTCCGCCGAGGGAGGCGTCGGGCCGCAGTTGAAGTCACTTTTAGAGAAAGTGATCGAGCGAAACGAACTTACCAGAGACGACGCGAAGACTAAGACAGCGAAGGCGCTGCGAGATCTCGACAATCCTGCGAGCCCGCTCAACAAGGATCTCAGACGCCTGTTACCTTTGCGTTACATGGTTTAATTCCTCGAAAAGCGATCCGCTTTTGTAATTTGTTCTTGTAATTTTTTCAAATAAAAATGAAAAATTTTCATATGTAATTAATTCTTTTTAAGAAGTAAATTAAAGTGTCGTTATGTGAATCGCGAAAGTCTAATCTATCTGTTCCTGTATAGGATAGCTAGATTTTACAACAAAATCAATATTTAGTCGATTTATGGTCGTTATCTATTTATCAGAAAATCATTATCTGCTTGTGAGTCAATAATTGCAAAGTAAGTAGCATACAATTGCAAATAATTGCAAAAAATACTCATTTAAAAAATTTGCAGTGCATTTTATAATGCTCAAGAATGATTTCTTTCCAGTAATATATTATCAGTACATATTAGGTGAAATAAATGTTCATAGTCAAAGACTTCTTTGTTTCGGAATAATATGCAAGACTGTAATAAGTTGTTAGAGAGTAATCTTATAACGAAAATCTAAACTTATAAAAATTAAGTTATAATTCATCTTTTGTTATAAAAACGGAAGGTCATATTTTTTACGATGCAATTCATTTCATTTCTTGCAGCCTGTCGTAAAATTTTAGATTGGCTTTTACATTTTTTTGAAAGTTCTGATAAATTTATTAAATTATCTATTAGTCCGTATACATGCGTTTCGTTGTCGACATAAACATTGCAACAACATAAAAATGTAAGCATCGCTTTTATTATTGTTGCGTGCTTATTAGCTTTGTTTCGCCAAGCTGTCGACACTTCTCTTCATCATACTTTTTCTTCTTGTCACTTATATTTGAGTGTATCGACGATAATTTTTGTTTAATCGAATAAAGAAGGTGGATTATATTTTAGGTTCTCTTCTCGTACGTGTCTCTGTACGTGTCTCTGTACGTGGCTATAATTCTGCTTTACCAACCACTTGGAAATGATTTTCGTCGCTATGTCGAGAGTATCACCTGAATAACAATCAAACATTTTTCAATAATAATCTAAATTATTCATTATTTTATGAAATTTGACTTCTCTGTCATGAAAAATTGTCAAGACGACACATGAAATACCTTTTGTCTCTACCGGATAAAGCTTCGTGGAGAAGGTGAACGGCTGTTCGACTTCAAGAAACATCCTGTCGTTAATTTCCGTGATGTTTATTCTGGTTCTTTCCACGAGCGATTTTTCAAGAGCCTCCAGAAAGAGTGCCCATCTAGGCTTGAAATAGTCCTCGACTACTCCGGACCACTGTTTGTTCGCGTAGTCTCGGATTTCGCCGTTCGGTCCCCATAGAGTAATCTGATTTCGCGCATTGTACTCGTAAGACTGTCTCTCGTCCTCGTCGACGGCCATATCTTTTGCCTGAGCCAACCAGGTGCCTAGCAGAAAATTACTTCCCGATGCCAGGATAGCCTCGAGATCGTCGAAGAGATCCAACAAGGCGGCTGCGTGCGACCTGCGACATGTTTCAACGATAACGAAATTACAGAATTCTTTCAAATACGGATATTGTGCAAGCCAAATAATAAATCACTACGCACCGATCGCTCTTAGCTACATTTTTTAAACATTTACACGCTCTATAAGTGGCTATAATGAGATATTATTAGGGAATTTCTTGCTAATTCTTTGAAATCCTTACCTTATTTGTGATATTCAATAAACAAATGCGTAATTAAAATTGTGAAAATAATATCATGTGTCATATCACACGCATCATTCTAGATAAGATATATCAATCTAAGATATATCTTATCATAATGCACTCACCGAAAGGCAGTGATGTTTCTTTTTCTGTAGCAATCTACTATATTCGTGTAAATATTGTCGGCCATTAGTTGGAGAGCTTGTCTTGTTATATCAACCACATCATGCCTGTAGAGAGTATTATTGCCTCTACCGTATCTCGCTTTTAAAAACGTGTCCCACGTGTTGTAGAAATCCTCTCGATTGTACCAAACCTGCATTGAAAGCGAATTTAAACTTATATTAAAAGCTAATAATTTATAAATCCTAAAAAGAATCTCCCAGTAAGGTTGGTAAATTAAAATAAGCTTTATTTTAATTTTTCTTATTAAGAGAGATTGATATAGATCTCAAAGTATCAAACTAGACTTAAATGTAACATTGAAATCGAAAATAGGGTTATAATTTTGACTAGGGTGTATCGAGATATTTGCAGAAATGCAACGATATTTTATTGATTGTATATCAATTATCATGATTAAATATGCCTACCCATGGTGAAATGTTTAAGCTCGGTCGTCTGGTAATGACATAATGCCCTCTGATTCTCTCAATGCCGACGAAGTTGTAGACCGTTTTGCCAAGACGCTTCCAGGCAGCCACCGCGTATTCGTTCCAAGCGCCGTACCTTCGAGTGGCGTACCTCTCAAACCTGCCGACCGAGATCAAAGTATCGATTTAATCAACAAACTAATTGAACTTTAAGCGAACAGTTTTTTCTATGCGTCCGAATTTAAGTTGCAAATTATACAGTCTAGCTGTATAGATTATCAGGGAGCAGATAAGAAAGCGGATCACGTTAAAGACGATGTATCTTTGGACGGAAAGCCATTGCAACGAGTAATGCATCGGAATCAAACGATACTTCCCAAGTCGATATTTTGGTCCTGCTTTCTCGACCTAAATATTCTATTTAATGTTTAGTTTGATACTCTGAAATCTATATCAATCTCTTTCGATTCTATTTAGTTGAATTTTATCGAGATGTCCTCTTCAAAATCTACAAGTGGCATTTTGTGCATTTCCTGCCATTCAGAAGCGCTAATTAGGATTTCAGTTTCCATGTGCATTAAAAATATACTGGTACTTCAGGATATACAGATGTTAGAAAGTTTAGGTCGAAAGCAGAGCTAAAATTTCGACTTGGATTCTCACCATGCGTCGAGATTGACGGGCTCGTGACGATATCCCATTTCGTTCATCAATTCGTAAATTACATAGTTCTGGTTAATGCCCTCGGGTGTCAAGCCGATCCCCACCATCGTACTGTCATTCATATGTCTACCGTCGAATGGACGCTGAGAAAAAAAATTGAGTGGAATGGTAATCCCGTAAATCACGGCATATCTAATCCACCATCTCGAGTAACGACGTATCGCCCCTTAAATCCTAAGGATTTTTGTGGATTTGTCGAAGAATTTGAAAAGCAGAAGTAAAGGTTTCTTCGGCACAAAAGATTTTACATGAGGAAGATTCAAAAGTGATTAGAGTCGTGCTATTAATTTCCCGGCTACGGGAAAAGTAAATGTGAAGAAATGCAGATTCACATGGTATACCTGATTGATAATTTGCGCAGACCCAAACATCCCCAAAGTGCCGCCGAAGTTGTGCAACATGCACCAGATGAATGGCTGGCCGTAATACGACTTCAGTCGGCCGTATTGCGGGAATTGTTCCGACTGCAGATCCAGCACCAGCATTCGTCCCTATGATCAAATTTAGCGTAGCAATGAAACTTAAAAAGTGGAATATGTTTTGTAATTATGATGAGGTAAGTATTGATGTAGATTGTTTTTATAAGAACAAATATAATTATGTATTTACTATAAAATTTATCTCAACTTTAATATTTCTTAACATTTATTAAATTAATATTTCTTAACATAAAGTTAATTTTTATTATTTACTCTTACTCCGGAGAACTAATTTTAATTTATTTCTGCATAAAATGGTTGTATTTTGTAATAAGTATATTCTTTCTTCCATCATTTTTTTCTGTCTATTAGATTATTCTATGAGTCTATGAAAGTACATATTTACAAGTATATGACAATTATTTAATTCTTTATAAATCTAATAACAGTAAGACGCATAGCATGTCGCTGCAGTAATTATACATTTACCAGGTCTGTAAATTACGGTCTGTATTTACGGTAGTCGAGAGTCTCGATCGATATATATTAAATATTAATATTCTTACCACAGGTACGGAGGTCAGGAGGGATTTCACTCTGGGCTCCGTCCAGAATATAAAGTTATGCACGAACAGCCAACCCTGCATCAACCTCGAATAGTGAAATAAGAATCTTACATGAGAAATATGTACTTATTTGAATTCTTAGAGAAATGTTGATATTACAGTGTAGAGAGAGGATTAATTAGAGGGAAGATTAATTAGAGGATTAATTAGAGAGAAGAAAAATATTTATTAATTTGTCCGCTCACCATATTGCTTGAGGGTCGACTGCGGTCATAGCTTGGAAAACCGAATGACTGACGTTGCTCAGGTAGGCAAGTTCGCTGTTAACGGGTTCGTTCTCATTAAAAGTGTCGCAATTGTAAATGTGATCAGTGCCAAATTCGTCGATATACTGTAGCAATGAAATATTCACGTCGGCGCCTCATTAGTCATCTCTAGGTTGGAACTATGTTGACTTACCATTCTCAGGAATTTTTCTCCGATAGTATGAAATAATGGGTCTGTTGGTTCTAACAAATAAGGACTAAAAACAAAAGATTAAATTAAGACCGAAGATTTCGTTAATTTTGGTAAATATTACTTCCACGATATGTTTTTCTCTATACACAAAGGAAAGTATTTTACATCCAATTTCATCATCATATTTCATATTCTTCCAATTGATTTTTCTTCACTTTTTGTTTTATAGTTTTTGAATATTGTTACGGAATCAAATAAATAAAAAAAAGAACAAAAAGAAATTATCATCGAAGACAAAATAAAATAAAAAAAAAAAAAAAAAACGGATAACGTTGAATCGTACCAGCAATACTTATCATCCTCGAAATTGCTCCAAGACTCAATCTTTGTCATATTGGTGTTCGGAAAAACCCGGGCGAAAGCTCGTGGTACGTAGCCAGCGAACGCTGGTAGCACGGGGACGATCCCGAGATCCCTCATTCGCCGTAGAATCTGATGCTGCAGACGTACGGTGCGATTATGCCAATTCGACGACAACGGCCCACCGAAGCCACGTATGTTGCCCATTCTCGTCCTGAAGCGGTCAAATAAATATATTTTATTTTTATTCGTTCGAAAGAAAGAACTCGAGGACAAATAGTATCCGACCAGGGTAAAAAAGCGGGACCGCCAAAGTGCTCGTCAATTTCCACCTGAGTGAGATTTAGCTCGTGGAACAGTCTCTGCCAGATCGCTTCTTGTGCGGTAAACGCGAGAGCCAGATTGATGCCGTTGAGGGCCATCCAGTCGATGTTCTTTTCCCATTGCTGCCATTGCCACCAGGCTGAACTGTAGCCCGCAGTGCACACATTCTGATAATATCTGAATCTGAGGAGAAATAATGACAAAGAAATCAAATATCTCGCTATAAATATGCGAATATCAACTTGTAAATTCAAACAAAATTCAAACGTTTTTCTTACTGTTGTCACCATCGACTTCGTAAAGGACTCTCTCTCTTTCTCTCCCTTTCTCTCTTTGCGTACGTAATTACTTTTCAAATTATAATGATCAAATTAATTTAAATATTTCGTTTTATATGGTTCCAATTTATAAATTTTGTATATTGTCCTGAAGAGGATCCAAACCGAGGACTTCGCTTATGACATTATTATGTTTATGTTTAATACTCTATCTATTGTCTCACTTTATATAGCAATATTATCTGCGTTGCCTCCTCTATTTATATTTACTTTTTATTTATACAATTATAAATTTAAATTATAATTTATACATATAATTGTACTTACGTTATTATATTTTATAATATGTATCAGAACGAGAGCGAGAGAGAGAAAGCCTGTGTTTTGTTTTCATAAATAAATTATTATGATTATTATATACAAACACACTATCACCTGTCATTGGATATGATCTTCACTCGGACTTCTGGCAACACGTTTGGTAGGGTGATTTGCATGCCGTCCCATGACACATGAACGTTGCAGTAGTTCTTTAAATAATAATTCAACCCCCACGTGATCGCCACACCGGTGGTGCCGCGAATTTCGATCTCGCCTAGATGATTTTTCGTTATCTATCAAAAGAGAAGTTAATACCCAAAATATCGGATTATTTCTCTGCAAATATATTAATTAATCAAAGTTCTTTAAGAGCTTTTAGGTACTCTTAAAGACGCTCAACTTATTAATTAATTCTAATATCAGCTCTAAACCTTCTTATTTAAAATATATTGTTTTCAAGAGTGAGCGCTGTACCATGAAAGTTTGTTTGTCAACGGGTCCCAAATTATTATCCACTATCATAACAAAGAGTTTAGCGGTTTCATTGCCCAACAGTCTTCTTGCGACATCTTTTGCTGCTTCCGCTTGGACTTCCGGAAGAGTATGCGGTTTTATGTGACCCAAAGTATTCTGAAACGCTAATTGTATATTTCATTATTGTACATCCCAAAAAGTATAATTTTCTATTTCTAAAATTAAGAAAAAATATTCTAAATGCAATATGAAGAGAGAGAGAGAGAGAGAGAGAGAGAGAGAGAGAGAGAGAGAGAGAGAGAGAGAG